GGAGCACTGGTGGGTGCTAGGGTTGCCAACTACCTGAAAAATATTCTACATGTTTTCAAATTGTCATTTTATGGTCAGATTTCGGAAATAGTTCTACATTGGATTAAAAGTACAGCTAAAAAAATTGTTTTGAAATTTTTCACGTACATATTTCCTAATGTCCTTTCATTGGCTAAATAGAATTTCAGAAATACATGAAATTTCAGATCCTTGTTCATGGAGACATTGCGAAGGAAAAAAACTCAAACCCTGCAGATCTAATAACAAAAGGGTTGTTCTGCAAAAAGAAACTGATAAATTCTTCGAAATGGTGGCATGGCCCTGCATTTCTTTCGTTAACCTGAAAGTCAATGGCCAAAACCCAAACTATCGACGTCAAAATACATGATGTATCAGAAGAATCTCGAAAATCGGAAGCTATCCTAGCTTGTTTGATCAAAACAGACAAAATTGATAAAGTTCCACTCATGAGTTTGACAAAATTTAGTTCCTTGAAAAAACTTTATCGTGTGACTGCTTGGATTTTCAGATTTATATCAAATTTAAAAGTAAAAAGGGAAATAGAAATTTTGCGGAAATTTCAGCAGAAGAAATCAGTAAATCTGAAACCTTTTGGTTAAAACAAGCTCAAGAAGATAGTTTTCTCTGAAAGTTATAGAGTCTCTAAGAGAAAACAAAGCATATTCCAAAAAGATTTCAAAATTGTTCAAATTAAATCCCATATTATCAGATGAAGGTCTACTTTTTGGTACGAGGTTCGGTTACAAAAGTCAAACCTACTATTTAACAACAAAAACATCCAATAGTAATCCCTTCAAAACATAAATTAAGTGAATTAAGTAAGTACGAGACGCTCATGAAAAGGTTTATCATGCGGGTGTATCGGATACTCTAGTGCATATACGTGAAAAAATTCTGGCTCTTAAGAGGAAAACAATACGTCAAATCAATCCTGAGTAAATGCTTAATATGCAAAAAATATAATGTACGTCCTGGACAACAAATCACTGCACCTCTTCCAGCGGATAGAGTTAATGAATCTCCACCTTTCGCAATTTGTGGACTCGATTTTGCAGGTCCTTTGTATGTAAAAGAAATGACAACAAATACTACATTTTATTGTTTATCTTGAACGCACTACAAGAGCTATTCACCTGGAGCTCGTAAAAGGCATGAGCACTAAAAGAATTTTTACTTGTGTTCCACAGGTTCGTATCCCGAAGAGGTTTGTGTTCCACTGTGTACTCGGACAATGCTAGAACATTTAAAAGAGCCGAACTTGAATTAAAGCAAATGTGGAAGTGATTAACCACCCTGAAGTTAAAAAATTTTATGCTTTCGCATGGAATCAGCATGGAAATACATTGTGGAACGTGCTGCCTGGTGGGGCAGTTTTTATAAAGGTTTAATTCATAACTAGCATGAAAACTAGTTTAAGAAAGAACATTGGGAAATCTTCTTTGACTCCAAGTGAATTAGAAATGATTTTGCTTGAAATAGAAGTGATGATAAAACTCATGCCTAATATATGTCTTTTCTGATCTTCAAGGGCAGCCCACCTGTTGATTGGTAAAGGACTCTTGAGTTTGCCAGCTATAAGGAAGAATGACTTGAATTTACCAGGTTCCAGAGAAGCAATATTAAAACGTTTCTGTACATGAGAAAATTTAATAAATCACTTTTGGAACAGATGGAAAAAAGAATACCTCCTGTGCTTGAGATCTCCTCATTATATTGAGCAGAAGAAACCATCTGTATTCAAGATAAATGATATAGTGCCTGCTCATGATGAAAACTTACCTAGAAGCTGGTGATGAAATTAGGAAGAATAACCAAAACTTTTATTGGTAGAGATAGGAATGATCAGATCGTTGTCAGAAGTGAAAAACTGGTAATTTCGGTAATCAAATGTCCATTGCAGCTATTGTACAATTTAGAAATTGATGATATCAGTAATTGCAATAATCAGACTGGTCCAAAAAAAAAAAAATTGGACTGAATGACTGATAAACTGATGATAAAAAAAATATTCTTTTTCATAATGTTTTCATTTATTCATTATTATTTTCCCTTGGTTTAATGATTTGTGGTGATCTTGAGAATGTTAATTTAAATGTTTTTTTTTTTTTCCTATTTTCAGAAAACTTTTTTTTTTTTCTTGGTGTTAAGAAATTATTGATATAATGTGAACCTGTATATGTAAGTAATTTTATTTTTTCTTATTGTTATAGTAATATTGTAATAGTTAGTTTAAATTTATGATGAACCTATTGTTCATCGGGGAGGAGTTTGGTGAAATTATTTCTTTTCCTCCGATGGATTCATTTTTCTTTTTTATTTTTATCTGTCTGTCGCCGACTAGACGACTGCCGGCAGAGAAGGAATGTAATACTCTGTTAGTTAGCTTGAGGGCGACATTGAAATATCTGTTTCTTGGCCGCATAGCGGTAATTGTTCTTGATAAACGGATATTGGCCCTATGATGGGAAAATTTATAATATGTAGATTATGCTTTCATAATGTACATAAGCTCTTCATTAAATGTTTTGTTTTTATAAAAAAAAATAGAATCGTGAATTCGTGAGCATAAAGTGACAATTTTTATACACAGCAATATCAGCAATTGCCAACAATTCTTTCAGGAAAAAGCAATTTTTCTAGAGAAGTGTTGAATAACTACAAGATGAGTTATATTGCAGCACCAAAATGGCATTGCCAATGTCAGGCCAGAGAGGAAGGACTGGGAACCTACAACGGTTTGAGAATTATTCATAAAACTCTATATTTCATGTACAGTAATTCTATATATTCATACAGTAATATCATTGTTAGAGTTGACTTGTTGAAATTATTTTTTTCCCTCCGATGGATTCAGTTTTTTCTTTTATTTTTTATCGTCTGTCGCCGACTAGGTCACGTGACTGGCGGCAGAGAAGGAATGTAATACTCTGTTAGTTAGCTTGAGGGCGACGCCTTGAAATGATCTGTTCTGGCCGCATAGCGGTAATTGTTCTTGATAAACGAATATTGGCCCTATGATGGGAAAATTATAATATATGTATGATTGTGCTTTCAATAATGTAAATAATGTACATAAGCTCTTTGATTCATTCTCTTAATGTTTTGTTTTATATATAAAAAAAAAAAATAGAATCGTGAATTCGTGAACATAAACGTGACAATTTTTTATACACATGTGTTTTGGTGCCGAAATGCCCGGACCTTTAGATACTTAAAATCGAAACTGAATATAGCTGAATATGTTCTATGCTGATGGAATAATGGAAGGACACCTGAAAATCAGGTAAGCCATTTTCTTTCATTCTTGAAGTATTCAACCTTGAAAAAAAAATGATGAGTTAAATAAAAGTATTGAATATTTATGTTGTTTTATTGAAATATATTGAAAAGAATAATACTTCATTGATGCTTGAAAAAAAATAATTTATCTTAATCGAAGGAAGGAAATTTGGGATTATAAATATATTGTTTTTAAAGAAAGTGCTTAAAATATTGAAATACTGTACTTTAAATTTTGTTACAATTATTTGTTGAATTTTATAAGGTTATATTCCATTACTTGAAATATGGAAAATATAGACAAATTAAAGTCGAAAAGAGCTGCTATCAGATCTGCAATCACTAAACAAATAAATAAAGCAGAAGATTTGCTGGTAGCAGCGATTGAAAGAACTGACACAGATTCCTTGTTAGAGTGTCAGGATATTTGGTCAGAAAAAGAAAATTCTTTAAATGAAACTGATAAAGAGATAGATAAATTGATTGAAGATAAAGCTGAATATGAAAAAGAATTAAAATCGGTTGAAGAATACTCTCATAAAATTTTGAGTATGAAATCCAAAATTAAGAATAGGTTAAGAAAATGTAAAGCAGATACCGAAGAAAGGACTGGGAACCTAAAACTGGTTTGATGGAATTATTCAGTAAAACTCTATATTATTCATGTACAGTAATTCTATATATTCACGTACAGTAATATGCATTGTTAGAGTTGACATATTTATTTCAGGTAATATTTCGCACCAACATTTATACTTTAGGCAACTGTCGTTTCATATACAGAAAGATGGCAAAATTTTTAATCTTTATTACAATGAGAATTAAACTAGAACTTTCTTGTAACATCAAAATAGTAAGTTTTAGGTACACTTCCTTTCCTTTGTCAGTAATGTTGAAAAAAATAAATAATTAAAAAGAATTTAGGACAACAAAACTGACAAGCTGATTGAGAAATAAATGAACTTGTATAATTTGGAAAAAAGAGCTCAAACTAGAACATCCTAAAGTTTTAAAACAACTACAATATGATGTTTGAAAAAGATATAATAGCTTTAGTACACTTTTTATCTATTTTTTATTAAATAATAGTATATTTAATATACATTTATTAATATTTTTTTTAATTTCTTTTATGTTCCGATTTTTGTGATTTTTCATTTATGTCGTGAAATCTGCAAAACTTTTAAGTCCACATAACCTCAGGTTCCACTGCAAATTTTTTATCTTTATTATATCAGAAATTCAATTTCAAATAAAAAGCTTCTGGAAAGTTTTTTAGACCTCCAGATTAGCAAATTCGAATTTTTGGAAAGCTTATTTTAAAAATGATGTCTTGCATATAGAAACGAACAACCCTCTGCATGATGAATGTTGTGGCTACAATTATCCTGAAATGCTTCAAGCAACATGAAATGAGACCAATCAATGCCTGAATGTTTGGGGTTCTACCAATGATGCCCACATCAAAACTCATGATGGCAATTATTAGGAGGGGAAAAGAACTGATACTTTATGATGATTTAGTCAGGAATTTCTATAATAAGTACTTTCTAAAATGAAGTTCCATTATTTCAGATATCTTTTATTAAGATAGCTTGTAGAATTTATAAGATTAAGTATATTTTTTGTGTGTAAAATAAGTTATAATAATAGAGTAATTAAAAAATAATGAAAGTAAATCATAAAAGGGGCAAACTTACAGCTGGATTTTTCAATTTAGTCACAATTTTCCATACTTCATTTAGAATTTGCAGCCTTTCATTTTCAGGAGGGTCTGCTACAACCAAACAGAGACCCAGTGTACGAAATAATAACGGCTATAGAGAAAAGAAAAAATACAAAATATGATGTGCTGGAGTACGGATAGGTTATTAAACATATTTAAATTTCCTGTATTATATAATGAATATCATATATAAATAAGTGAACCTTAGGAAATCCAGAGTCATTACACTCTTTCATAATTTCAACAAGTTCTAAAGCTCTTTTTGCAATAAATTCAGGTTTGAAAGCAGCCATCACAGAGTTTAGCAACAGAGCACTGTAAAAACAAACTTACGTTAGTCATAAAATTTTATAAATTAAAAAAGAATTTTGTCAGAAATACAGAGAGAGGATAAATATATATAATAACACCAAAAAAGCATCTGTAGCAACAAAAAATAATTACTTATAAAAGATCATTGTCCTAAAGTTACACTAGAAATTCTAATAAAATCTATGTTCACACACAAATTTACAAAGTATATATTTTCAACATTCTCCATGATCAACCCAAATTATTGCTCACTACTTCATTTAAGCATCACAATGTTTTACCTGCTATTACATACATTTACTATTTGTTACAATATATATGCAATCATTTCTTCTGTTTTGACTGATGGATTAATTAAAACCAGACATAATTAATTACATTTTCAAGCAGACTACATAACTGAGCACTGAGTGTCAGAAATGTTACAAAACATTAGAAGAAAATCACTAGTATCTGGAGAACAACCACCAAAATAATATACATTTAAACATTAATGGCTGTTCAATTATGAATCCAACAAATCAAGGTATCAATCTATGCAGCTAAAAATATTAAGAAGAAATTATTTCTGCATAAATTTTTGGAAGCTGAAGGGTCAGTCTACAGGAGAAATGCAATAAGTCAGCATTACAAAATTTGAAAATTTACAGTCTGAGATGAATGATTTTTGGTTTTGTGGTTTTTATAAGAAATATTAAAATTTCAATTTTGATCAGCTAGCCATTCTTTATAACAGAAGATAAACATAGAGAAGTATGTGGACAAGAGAATTAAGATTTTCATAAAGTAGCAGGTCTAGGTGACAAAGAAATATCACTGGATGACAATGAGTTGTGTTTAACAGAGGATAAAAGTGACTCATGAGGGTAAGACACTTAAATTTTGAGCAAAGGGGAAACTACGTACAATAAAAGCAGCAGTGAGCTGCAAAAATCAAAATACAAAGTAATAAATTTCACCAACATGAAGATCAAAATACAAAGTAATAAATTTCACCAACAAAAGAGGGTTATATAATACCAGTATGTAACAGTTTTACTTGCGCAATATAATTCTATCAAACAGGAAAATGATACAGCTTCATAAAAGCTTACCATTCAGCAAGTTGAAAATGCCAGCGAAAATTTTCAAAAATATGAAATTAAGTTTTTAAGATTAGATATTAAATCCCACACAAAGCTTTGTTGCTTCACTAAACTTTGCTGATATCTGAGTCACAGACAAGAATGCTAAATTTTGATTCTGAGCCTAAAGTTTCATATATACAGGTGGGATTTTAATATACCATCATATTTTGACACTATCAAAAATCATTATTTAGATTTTTGATTATGCTACATTCAATCATCTACATTTCAGGGCACTTTCCCATTATCTGGCTAATTTCTTACTTTAAAAGGCAGCTCTAAACTTGATCTTCAGATTAGATAATGGTTTGTAAACTTCACAATGTTTGATACAAGATAACTGAACTCAAAACTGTGTCCACAGTGCAAACTAATTATGAGGACTGAAAACTACGATACAACTGGTGGCTTAAATCAGGGCCCTATGAAAAGATGGATCTCCTCTTGCTTTCATCCTTTTATCTAGATATTGCCCCAAATGACTGCTATCTTTAGGTCTAAGATGCATTTTTTTGAAAGGAAAGCGGCTCAATAATCATGATGATGTCAAAAGGAGAAGCATTTACTCAATTTTCTTTGTATCTAAGTTGCTACAATTCTTTACATCTAAATCACCCACATTTTGTAAGGCATTCAATAGGTACTCAAATTAGTAAGAAAAAATCAGTAAACAATGGAGATTTCAAATTGGACTGATCTGTGCCACAAGACTGATTATATAATTAAAAGCAACATGAAAGATAAAATAGCACTTTGCCTTTTCTTGTTGCTTTTAATCTAGAGATATTACTTTCTTTCCAATCCTTCACAAGATACACATAAAGAATGCCATTGCCACTTTACATGTTACCAATGTCAAGATCATGGCTGAAGAATTTACCTTTGAGGTCATTCACTCATTACTTTAATTCATAACAGCATCAATTTTTATTTAGGATCAGGCTTTCGACTGATCACATCTACAGAGAACTTCTTTAAAATAGACTGTTAATGAAGGACTCTTTTATTATTATTATTATTTCTGGGGGTGCAATAATTTGTGTTCAGATATATATAAAAAAAAATTAAATTCACGCATCTAACCTATCTTTCAGCTATACAAAGGACCACACACATTTATCCATCTTTCAGCAGCACAGAGGACTAAATGAATGGGCAGTTCAATGAATCTACCAACCTACATTCCACTTATTGTCAGGGATTAGTAAATCTAAAAATCTGGTTTTCTGATGTAATTCTCAATATTTTAATTCATGATAATTATTAAATTTAACTATTTTATTTACTATGACATAAACAAATAGAATAATATAAATTATGTGCAAAAGTAATAAAGTATTCTGGTTTAGGATGAAGTTAGAATACAATACTCAATTACCTATTGCACTGTATTTTGCATTTATGTAAAACTTCACTAAGAACTGGTTCAGATGCTTTATATGCAACACACTGTAGAATCCAGTCAAGAGCTGGTGGATACAAGGTCAAATATGTAGGCAAATCCAGATTTTGTTTTATTAAAGTTTCCTTCACAAAATTGCTCTGCAACTATAGTAAGAAAGTTTAAAAACAACAATCAGAATGATTTTTATTTTTGAATTTATGCACATTAACCCTCTAAGCATTACGGGTTTAGGCCTCAAATTTCCTCGAAATAACATAAATAAGTGGTATTTTCTTGATTTTAATTAAAAAATGACTTTCTGATTTTGTACCTTAATTCCTTTTCTTCCAATATACATCCAAACTGAAATCAGATACATTAAAAGCTAGCAGAAATTTTCATGTGTAATTAATATAGAAGGCAGTCTTCTATACGGAATTTTCTGGCCGTAACACCAAGAGGGTTAATAATGATTATTTGAAATATAATGCTATAATTACTTGATTGTACATCATTAAGAAATCCCAAAAGTTTTCTCTTAAGTGTTCATGGGCTTCTGGAGCAACAGACATCCCAACCTGAAAAAGGAATAAATTTAATGTAATATATTGATAAATACACATACAACAACCTACATGCTACTAAAAAATAATTACAGATCATGTATATCTGCATTGTTATCATGCTACAAATATATACAACATGTTTGTGCATTGATGCAAAGGATATTGCTTTCACACAAACACACACAAAAAAAAGAATAATTATACTACAATATCATGTCATGAGTCCAAATGCTGATTCAGAACTTTGCATAAATTATCCTTGTGATTACTGATTTTGGGCAAAATACTGCCTACATAAATTGCTTAAAAATCTAATTCATAAAATATATAAATTGCCTTAACTAAAATGGATTTATAGCAACACTACACATTTTATTTTCCACAAGAAGGGAAAGTATATATATAATGAATTTACCTCATTAACTTATATTCAATTGTCATTTTAATTACATTTTACAGTTTTTAAGAGCAATATTATTTTATATCAAAAATCATATATTATTGATAAAATGAAATAAAAACTCTAAATTGACAGACCAAAAGCTTTCACAGACTTATATACTGCTAGCCTACATTATAATTTCCAGGATATTATTGCTATTCCAACCATCATTAAAAATTCCTGGCTTCTACAAAATTATTGCTCAACTTTGCATCAAAATTTTGGCTGATGGTTAATATATTTTAATACCACAATTATTTAAGTAAGAACAAAAAAATAAGAACTGACAACAATTGTATTATTCATTAACATAAGAATTGTTAGGGAAGTAGACATAATTCAGAAGTCAAACAACAAAAATCAGCGTTATATTTACAAAATTTTCACAGGACTAGTTTCGATGGTTTTACCGAACCACCATCTTCAGCTGCAAGAAGATGGTGGTTCGGTAAAACCATCAAAACTAGTCCTGTGAAAATTTTGTAAATATAACGCTGATTTTTGTTGTTTGACTTCTGAATTAGTATTTATTCGGCATGTTATTGTGTCTTAATTAAAGTAGACATAAGTTTACAATGCATTAGAACAAGCATAGCAGCCATGTAATGGAATAAGCACTACATATGTCAGTAGTCTCAAACTGCAGAATTTGAAAGTTACTAACAAACTGCAATTTTTTTTTTTTTTTTTAAGGAGGGTTGTTAACAAAACTAAATTTTAAAAAAATCAGTACACAAAAATAATGAAAAGAAAAATTAAAATTTACATTTATTGTCTGCCTGAAATCTAAAAACTGGTATCTGCAAGAAATTTCTGTTGATCACAATATGTAATTCAAACACATTCTCAGCTAAACATTAAAATTTTCAAATTGGCATCTATTAAAATAATTGTAATGTACTGAAGTAATCACTAAATAACCTACTTTTAATTTAAATTGAAAAAAAAAATATATGGAAAATTCTTTAGAGGGATAAAACTTGAGAACATATAATGACAACTTATTCTCTTTCTTTCTTTTACTTACCACATTTCTCTGTGATAAGTAAGAGAAGTAAGTCACATACAGAAAACATAATATTTATATATAAGTAATTATAAACTTAAATTTTTATTACACCTTCTAACTACAACACCTCACAGCATTTCGATTTTCATGAAGTTTGTAATGTTGGAGGAAAATTAGTAGAAAATATCTTAATTACAAACTGTTATACTCATCAGCAATCAGGTTCTTTTCGTAGACTTTCGTAGACTCGTAGGAAAAACTGTTCACATATGAATATACTCCCAGCCTTTTGACAAGTACTAATAAAAGCTAATAGAATTTGTATTTTTAAATCATAGTGTAAATTAATTAGTCCCATTTCAAGATTTTCCAAAGAGTTACTCAAGTTGATTTTTGGTAATGAAAATAATGTAAAATTGGACTCCAAACTATTGAAGTATTAAAATTTTTCTTCAGATTTTTGTCATAATAATTTAAATTTTTTAATGAGAAATGTATTTGTGTGCTAAATAAAAATGCTTCGGGGCCCACAGTTTGAGACCAGTGGCATATGTAGCATACTGAAGAAATGTGAATTTTATTGTTACATTTAATTGTCATTATCTGAATATTCTTTCAATTTTTTGAAACTGTTTCCAAACTTAATTTTGGAACTAAAATTTAGTTCTACCAAAAGTGATTTAAAATAGATTATATTTTAATATTAATTTATTTCATGACTTATAGTGAAAAACACAAAATATACTTTTTATATTGAAGAAATCTTTCATTAATGCCTTTTTTCGAGTAAGGTATTATTTGCCTTTTCAATTTTAATCATTTCTGCAAAACTAATCACACATTGTTTTTTCTTACACATGGACAACTGGCTTTCATTACATTACCAGGATATATTAAGCCATGAATTTGTATTTGAAAGTCCCAATAGTATTTCACCATTTTATTTGCACTGATGAAATTTTCAAACACATGTATCTTTCATATTCAGTCCTTATTTCATCTGAAAATTAATTCTCAAATTCTGGTTTTAATTCAAATTCACGTGAATATTAAACTTCCAAATTTAGAAACTATATGATGGATTAGTCAAGATATACAGCTAAACTTGGTATTGGATCAAAATACGAAAAACAGAATTAAATATAACTTAGAAGAAATTATGAGAACAGAAGTTTTCCAAAATAAGAAGACCTTCCACTCTTTTTTTTTTTTTTTTTTTTTTATTATTATTATTATTATTCTTATGGTACATTTTATAGTATGACTACAAATAACTGAGCCTATAGGGATTCAGGAGATGTTTGAATGAAGAGAGTAATTGACATTTTTTGCCTCTTGATCAGTTTCACTTTTTACACCAACAAAAGCTCAAAAGAATACTAAAGAGATTATATTAAATTTATACAAAAATAATTTGTGCTAGTAGGTTTAAAAAACCAGCAATGTCATTACACTATATTAGAAAGAGATAGAAAGTATTAAAACACATAAAAATAACACACTTTAAAAAATCAGAATTTTCTTGTGTACATCCAGCATAACATCACAAAATTATAATTTATTACAATTTTATTGTACATAAATAAATGCAAAATAATGACATTTCTAAAACACACAAGAAACTGCTACAAAAATTATGCCATATATTATATTTAATATAAAATTCCAACATAATTGCCAAAATAAGCTGAACGAGTCTTTCTTCACCATTCAATATGTGTTTTAAATCAAGTCATTAAATTCAATGCACATAATTATATAATAATTTCTTATTTACAAAGATTAATTTTAGATATCAGATAGTAACTCATACTTTCTCCAATCCAGATGTTGTGGCAGTAAATCGATGTGACTTCACATGATTTTCAGCCCTTCAAATTTTGGACAAAACATGATTTGTAAACACTATATTTTAGTGAAATGAAGGCAACTAAATCTGCCAATTCAAAATTCTATTAAAATGTTGATTATAAAGGAAGTTGAGAATAGTACCTCTAAATTAGATATGCTGGCATGTTCTCAGCCAAAATTGAGAATTATATAAGCAGATAGCCTCAAGAGCTTTGCTTAAATTAAATAAAACTGTCTATTTAGCATTGTATACCATTTTGATTTAATTAAGAACAACATTTTGAATATTTAAAATATATATGTATAGCATTAAAATTCTGAGATAAGCATAATGTATCTTACCCTACAGAGGTAGCAACGTGCATAAGCAGCTACTAAAGGATCACCAATGCCTCTAATCATTTTTGTCAGACGTATTAAAGCTTTTGCATACTCCCTAAGATATATAATGCAAATTTAATTAACTATATAAATATTATTCAAACAAATATTAGCATTTCAAAAAATATAACTATACTATAAGACAAAATAAACATATGAGTTTTCCTTCTTAATATTTTGAAATAACAAAACTGCTATTTTTCCATTAAATCCATACCATCTGGCATTTCCCTTTATTTTAGCATAGTTCTTTGGCTCTTCTCCTGGAGATAACTGTCTTTATAATTATAGCTTGCATGAGCATGTTTTCATCTAATCATAGTTGTTTCTCTTTGCTTCATTGGCTATTCTACTTTTAATACTCTTCACAAAGAAAGACTACATTCAATAATCCCCTTATGAAATCAAAATGTGATTAAAAACTAAAAAGATTATGCAGCTTTTGTTTCTGCCATGTAAAAAAAAAAGGTGTCCAAACATGTCCATGGTTAGTTGGATCATGCATTCCTTTCATTACTAATTACGAGTCATTTACTTATGTTCTAAAAAGTTGATGCCTGTTGAATTTTATGAACAAAGCTTCAAATGAATTACAATACAATAATATATTGGAATAATTACATATGACAGATGTATGTGCAAGTTCCTTTTTATACTGTCCTAATGTTAAAACTGGTGTATGTAACAAAATTTAAAAAGTATATAAAAGCATATTTACAAAAAGGGAAAACAATCAAAGCCCTGTTTTTTCCCCACAAGAGGTTTTTTGGGAATCATTTAATCAAACTGGTGAACATTTTCTTGTTGCTGTTCTGATCAATCCATGCAAACTTTAATGGTTGGAACATTTGTGGATGGACTATTCTGTTCTCTTCAGCAGTGGATATAAGTTTTCTAATTTACAATCTACAAGACACAAACGTTTCGTAGTAAATCAATTAATTACTAACAGAAATTTAAAAAAGGGGGGGGAACTAGAAAAAACAAAATAAAAATGTTTGGATTAAAAAAAGTTTAGTGTCACCTGTATGGTGCTCAAGGCTCTAGCCAACAACAGCCACAATCTTGCACTCTTTGTCAAGATGAATTTTGTGGGCTTGTTCTGATGTTACTGTCACACAAGTGAAATAAGTCACACAACCAAAATCTGGTACTGAAACAAAGGTGTAAGGAATGAAATAAGCCAAAATATGCCAAGATGGCTCAGAAAATGCATGAAAACTTTAACAGCACATTAAAGTACCAGAAATCTTTGGACTTTTAATTCCTAAAAAAAGCAATGCAATTAAGGAGAATTAAAAACCACTCTGATTCATAAGCCTTTTGACTTTTTTTAAACATCAACAGCAAATTCTCTACAACATTAAATGCCATGCTGACAATAATGTAAAATAATTAATAACAGCTCTTTTAAGAAAATTATTCACAGGCTACATGAGTCTCTGAAATTCTTAAAACATCACTATACCAACATATGATTAACGTCAGAATTGAATAAACTACACAGATAACTTTAAAATCAATTTACATATATTTTGAAACTTTAGACTGGCTATGTATAGAAATAAACTATTAGTTTCAATAAGTTCCAATGGAATTAAAAGAAAAGATTGAAAACTGATAGGGGGAAAACTATTATTTTCAGAAAATTCTGTGAAATGAAAAGACGATGACAGATAATGAAAATCAATGTATATAGAAAGCAGACCTGTCTTTAAAAAATTATATTGTTATTACGATTGATAGTCAAGAATATGCGAAATTCTAATAACACAATTCAAATGAAGAAACATGATATTCCTAGACAGTAACTATGCAAAGGTATTTAATGCGAATTAACGTAATTAACTTAATGTTTAATTAAATCTGCCCAATCAGAATTTAAAAGTGTCTTTCCTACAGACATTTTGCAGGTAAATGAAGAAAGATATCTATTTAATTACATTTAAAAATAAATTCAAGTATTTTATATTTATTTAGCAGCATGCATTACTAGAATATGTGCACTAAATTTTGTAGTGATATGTTATCATACTGCTAGAATTAGTTTCATAAGTATGCCAGAGAATATTGCCTGAAATTTGAAAGTATTATTAACTATTAACAAATAAATTTAGAAGGAAGAAGCCACCTTAAATGATATGAATAACATTAAGATAAAGTTAATTACTTAAAGATTAAAAATTGAATAACAAAAACTGACAATATTTTGGAAATTATACGCATATTAAATGGTTAGCCTAGATGACTGATTATTTTTTTTAATGCAAAATGACAAATAAGGCATTTAAGAAGAAAAGGTTTAAAAGATTTTATTTTATATGAGAATGGGGCAGGGGAATTTACTTTCGTTCAACATGCCCTGCACATGTGAATTTCTGGATTCTCGAGGTTACTGGAAAGCAAAGATTCTGGAAATGTGCATTGCCTTTCTAAGATACAATCTAATTGGCAATGGGAAAATTGGTTCTCTGCCAACTGTCCGAATGAAGCTCATACGATACATAATTCACCATGAATGTGATCACTTCCAACATTGGTGAGAAAATCGCTTTTTTGATGATCATCATATGAAATTCCCCGACTTTCCCAGATTTTGATTAAAATATTTAAATTCCCTGACTTTTTTCGGTCAAGTTTTGAATTCCTTGATTCTTCCCGGTTTTCCAGGTAGTGTGGCAATTTTGTACAAAATATTAGTATTACAAAATTCAAAAAAGCACTAAAAAAAGAAAAATAATGCTAAAAAAGAACTCTTTTTTTTTTTTTTTTTTTTTGTAATATTTTGTTTTAAACAAATGTACTGAATAGTACAGAATAATTGTTAGTAACTATAATACCCTTGGTCATAACTAAAAATAAAATCATGAAGCTATTAACAAAGGCAAATTTCAAATCAAAATTGCCAAAGAGAAATGACCCCTAAATTTCATCTGTTCTCCGAAATTAGAGATCTTTCCATGTTATGCAATGCTTAATGCAGATACCTCTTGTCCAATCAAAATAATTGTAAACCAAAACTTTTCTAACTCAAACTGAAACTCTGGCTCCCTCCCTTCTTCCTTTGAATTGTGGTGTCCTTTTTCACTTCAGCTTTCCTTTTGGCAAGACGCTCCTCATTTGCCTGAAATGATGTCGTACTGTAAAAACCCATGTATATGGAAATTATTGCATTCAATTATGATTGAAAAATATCTTATCTGCAAAAGGATGACTTGATATGGGGAAAAATAAAGGCTGTGATACTTCAAGCTCAGTTGTGTTAAATGAGTCATCATAGCTTTTACTTTCAGCCACTACCGTCTTTGGCCATGACAAATATCGAAAGCTGCTAAAAACAACTGGATTAAAAGATTACATATATACATATGTGTGTGTGTGTGTGTGTGTGTGTGTGTGTGTGTAAGATAGAAAAATATATACATCAGTTTTATAATTTAATTCAGTAATAGCCTCTTATTTCCTACTTTCTGATTTGTATATTTCCACTCTGTATTCTAAAAGAAGTAATAACTTTCTGGATTGTGCAATTTCTTGATCAATTTATGTCATATGACTTGCATAACGCTGATGATGTGATGCCAATTCAGAACTTGAACTCAAAATTTTCAGAACTGAAACCTTTCTAATCTACACGAAAATTTTCTCTTGGTGAGCTTCTCTGTTGGCTAAATGCACACTTTTAGCCTTTGTCCCTCTACCTATAATGATGCTATTTCGCTGTGCTATAATTCTATCGCAACAGTATTAATGCGAATTTTCTGGAAAGACACAATTACAGTGAAGTGAACTGCGGCCACAAATGTCAATTGAAATTAAAAAATAATAATAATAATAATAATATTTAGTCTTACTTTGTTGTCAAGTTTCCTAGTCATTACGGATTCCACATTTTAGCATTCTAAGCAAAAAGAACTTTTCCTCTTCAATATACAATAGATGTTCTACATCATCAGTATTTCTGCATTTTTACCTCTCAGTGTTTATACATCAGTATTTCTAAATTTGTTTTTATTATATATGCATAGAAATGTGTGTGTGTATAATATAAAAGCATGTAAATCAACATTAACTTAAATTACCAATAGTCCCTAATTCCTCATTTGAGTAGTTCTCCTTCTCTATTTGGAAAACAGTAATAACTTTTTTTGGACTGTGTCACTTCTAAATTAATCCATATCATATGACTTATTTATGTGTCATTATAATAATAATTTTATTAATGTTTCAAAAGAGGGCAAATATTTTGTTTTAGATCTGTGAAAGTTTCAAAATTTAATAACGTGCATTTCTGGGTGCTGAAATTTTAAAAGAAGAGATATACAATCATAAAAAAAAATCAATGATTTTTAAAATCACCAAAAACTGGTTAACTAAGTTTAAGATTCAGAACAAATTTCATTTAAAATATTTTTTTCCTACTGTATCTGATATTGGAAACAGTGAAATTCTGGGAATGTTAATTTAAGAGTGAAGTACAAATGTATATAGAAAAAAATCACAAGAAATAGTTTTAATATTAAGTAAAAAAAATCATACATTAAATTTTGAAATAAAACACTTTGACCTTCACACTTACAATGTCTAGACAATATGTGTACCAAATTTTGTAGCTCTCAGTGAAACCATTACTACACCATTCAATACACACACAAACATACTGTTGCGTGCGTACGGGTTCGTTATGAAATGAATGCACAAATGAAAAATGAACAAAAATTTATTATTATCACAACAAAAATGCTTAAATTTTCTCAAATTATCATGCAGTATTACAATATCTCACAGTAGTTATCTTTTAACTACTCAAATGTCCAATAGAACGTAATTCAAAACAGCTAAACGCTAATCCGCGAATTCGCTACAATCAACAAGAGCAGTTTTCTAAAAACAACAACAAACTAAGCAACTACTACAAACTGAGATGTTTTCCTCCTTTTATAAGATTTTAAAATCACGCGCTAGAATTTTCCAGTACTTTCTCGAAATCAAAAAGAGATATTTATTTATTTAATGCACGCGCTCTTGTATTTTCAATTTTCCGGCTTAGCTTTC